ATTAATATACAATAAGAATCAATAATTCGAATGACTTTACACTAGCAAAAGCAAAATTTTGTTATAAACGCATAAACGTGACGTTAAATTCAAGACCAATACTTTACGATGCACAATTAACTAAATTTCCATCCAATAGCAGTAAAATATGATTAATTCGAAATGTAAACAAGCTAATATAAGCAAATTCTTCGGAGTAAACTAACAACGAAATCAAAACAAGCATAAATTATGTACAACTCTTGTGCAGATAAAGCGAAATAGCTTAGTAAATGGATGGATTGTAAGGTATTAGCATGATATCGATTTTTACTTTCTTAGTAGATGATTAATGGGCAGGGGGCTCTTTACACATAAATATTTAAAGGCCGCCCAGCATAGATTCAAAATCCTACGACACTCCATTTCGCAAATATTTAAATTGAAAGCTTTGACATCACCAATGGATATGTCCCGTCCTGATGTTCCACTTGTATTGCCTTTTATGAGTACCCTTTCCGACACTTTGTTGTCCAGGTATTTTCTTCGACTTTACCAATAGATATGTCACGTCCAGTCGACTCATTTTGCTTTTTAGAGGACTTCCCTTCGACAAACCGTTTTCGAGATATTCGTTCTTAAAGTTGCAGTTCTAAGAACTATTTTGAAATCTCTAGGTATAAATTTGGATTTGGTATTAATTCAGACAGAATGAAGTAGATTCACGTGGTTAATGCAAATTAATGTGGTCGGTAATGTAGGAACTCCATCTTTCGCATGACGCGCCAAAACCAATCCTCGATAAGATCGACGTAAAAGGTAATCCAAAAGAAAGAACGACGGGAAACAATAAGAAAACTGCGAGGGAAATTAAACGTAAGCATTGAGTATTGACAGACACCAAGAAGAAAGAAAGAAACCACTCCATAAATAAATATGGTAAAGCCAAAACACTAATCCCATTAAAGGTAGACGCGAAGTCAGAAAAGTAACGGCGTACGAAAAGAAGCATTTGCATCTAACCAATGCGAAAGCAGAACCTTTACTGAAGAGGAAGAAGTACAGCGAATGCGTAAGGCCAAATTAAAGGAGAAAGATAGCATTAAGTATAGACAGCTACAAAGCGTGCACTCTAGCAACAAGACAAAGAAGCACTCGAACGGCCTCGGGCGGCGACACAAAGAACTAAAATAATAAGAAATCTCTATTAAAACTAGTGAATTAAAAAGAAGATGGCGTAAGGATATCAAATAAAACGCCGAATTTAAATTCTGGTCACAAAACAACGAGTTCATCTCAATGCTGAGCGCGCCGTATTGTTCTTTTGTACTTTCTATAGAAACTGTTTTGTACTATCTATCGAAATACTCACTACTCTTTCTCTGGATTGTCGGGAGACAACTAATTACCATTGTAATCTGTCTCATTTTAATTTATCTTCGATGCAAAATTCTAAGAAAACCAATAAACTAATATGTGCAGATGTAAAGAAAACTATCCCATTATGTTAGGACACATCTATAAGATGCAGTCTACTAAATATAATCGCCTATTTTTCATTTATACTATCTGTTAACATATAAAGCGAGCAATTCACCTTTCATTTGTTCGGGGGTTATTGTTTGAGTCCGAAAGGTTACTGTCCAGGCATTATTTATCCGAGGGTTATTGTCTCACAGTGGTGCACCTAGTTAAGGGATAGGGTGTAAGTTGCCCGGGGGTTTGTGTCTTGTAGAGAACTTCGCTTTTTTGTCGATTAACCGTGATCTCTGGGCCATCAGGGCCGGATTTAGCATGGGGTCATGTGGGCCCGAACCCATAGCCGAAAATTCTTAGGGGCAGCAAGAAACCAAATTAGTGAAATACTTCTACAACACTATCGTGGGAAAATAACATAACATCTTAAGAAATTGAAGTTGGAATGTTATGCACACTCTTCTCAACTTAAAAGTAATCATGAGATATGGAGTAACATTGTATTAACTGTGAGTAACTTTGTATTAATATTGTAGAAAATTTAGGGCTTCTTCCGAAAATTTTTGTTGTTGCAAACGCTTAATTAAGGTGCCCTCTAGCCATTTTTATCAGTTTCATGATGGTACCTAGGGCGCTTAATAACGTCACGTAACCGTTAGATTCTCTGAACTTTCTGAAACACGATTCAGTGGTTACATTTACATAACGTATATTATTAAAGGTAAAATTAGATATAGCCCCATGATCAACTCCTGTTGATGTAATGATGCGGAAATATTAATAAAAAAGAGTACATTTCTTTAAAGATTATTTGTTCACCGATTGTCATGGTCCGAAAGAAAGATAGCGTGGTGCGCTTCTGTATCGATTTTCGTAGTCAACGAAGTCACTATTAATGATGCCTATCCGTTACCGTTCATAAATGGGATTTTGGACCGCCTGCGTCAAGTCCGCTGTATCTCCAGCATCGACTTGAAACAAGGGTATTGGCAGATATCGCTGACCAAAACCAGTTGACCCATCAACGCTTTCACCATAGCCGGCCGAGGACTTTTCCACTTTAAAAGTTATGCCCTTTGGGTTACATTCCACACCAGCCACGTTCCAGCGTCTCTTAGACCGTGTGATTGGGCCGGAAATGGAGCCCCGAGTGTTCACCTAGCTAGACGACATCATCGTGCCGGGGATCACGTTCAACCACACTGAGAAAATATGAGGGAAATTTCCCACCGTCTCCGTTGGGCCAGTCTCAAAATCAATCCCGAAAAATGTCATTTTTTCCGCCCGTCACGGAAACATCTGGCCACGTTGTGAGCAATGGCGGTCTCCAAACCTAAGCCGCCATAGAACAATTACCGACTCCGCACAACACCAAAGCCGTCAGGAGATTTCTTCGGGTAGCATCCTGGTACCGCCGTTTTGTCTCGAATTTTTCAAACATCGTAGCCCCATTGACCAAACTCCTCCGAAAACGCGAAAGATGAAGGTGGAGTGAAGATCATGCCGTATTTTCTCCAGGCTACTCAAATTTTTCCCGTGAACTTGTTTTCCCGAATACTTTCCACGGTCAACAAGAACCTACGAATCCCGATACTCATACCGACGTGATCTCCGAAATTTCAGAGCACCGTACCCGTCTAGATAATCTCCAGGATGTGTTTCAATTGGTTGCAAGGACCGTTTTCCAAGCAGGCAAACCATTACATTTTCCGACACCGAGAATTGACACCACATTAGGGGACTTGGTTCTCCGAAAAGATGATCCCCTATCCAAAGCTTCCATGGCGACCAGCTTTGCCAAACACCCGGTATCTCGAAGTGTTTTAAGTTGGCCGCTTCGATACTAAGGTGTTTCTGAATCTACTTATTTGCTGTAGGAGACGAGGAGTGCGTTTTCATTTTTGTTTAATTGTTTATTTATCGCCGGTACCGCAAGTTCCTGTAGGAATATTTAAATTTGCAGATATCGGAAAAATATGGGATCGATATCAGACTTCAAGTTTTTTAAGCGCGTTTCTTTTGAAATAAAGTCCAGCTCAAACGGGCGGGTTTTTCTGTAACTGTAATTAATTACTACTAATTATACTTACGTGCTTTGCTGGATGGAAGTTTCGGAAAACGGAGTTCTAATTGACACCCATTGTTTCTTGGAATTTAAATGCAATCGGCAAGGTCGAGATAGCACGCTGCTATTTGTAAACGCACGGCCTTCGAGTCGTAAACAACTTTTCCATCCTGGTTTTTCGTATACCGTTAGAAAACTGAAATCGATTAATCGGAAATTAACGAACCAAAAACTTAATAAGATTGATCCCTCTTCTTCTCTGGCAAAAGAGCTTTCGGCGGCGATAAAAACAATTTAAATATTCCTACAGAAATGGTTGCAAAACTGAAAAATTCACTACTTAACTTACTTGCGTTATCGGCGGTGAACAAATAATTAAACAAAAAAAACACACAAAAAACTCACTCCTCATCGCCTAGAGCAAATAAGTAAATTCAGAAACTACTTAGTAACGAAGCGGCCAACTTAAAACGCTTCTAGATACCGGGTGTTCAGCAAAGCTGGTCGACTACACAAATATACGGTGTGATTATAACTTGGGGTTTGAACTTCAGAGCAGAAAACAGGTGCTTCGTTACATAGGTTACGGTAGACCAGTTTTGTTATCATTCCTGGCTGTTTCGGTGGGATGGGCCATGGTGCCATATTGGTAATGGGAAGGTAGTGGTATCAATTGTGAATGTGCGCAATGGCGACGGTTTTATGATTGAAATTATTAATTTTAGTCTAAATAAACTTGTCTTAAAATTAATATTGCGCGCCTGGGTGCTCAGTGTGACCCATAGAAAAGTACAGAATGTTGAAACATACGCAGAATTTTAGTACTACGAGTACAACTTATCAAAATAAATAAGACTACGATAACTAGATTTTAAAACACAAAGTAATTGCTGTATTTTCACAATCACTGCTTACAATTTTTATTTTACAAATAATCACTCGGTTTGCTCAAATTAACAAGAGATTCAAAATTACTGGGTTCAAAAACACACATGAAAAAAATTTTAAAAAATTACAAAGACCTTAAATCTAGAATCAAACTTTCTCCAACGCTACCCAAACCAAATTTATTGTTCATTAAACAACCCCGCCAGACGGAAATTGAGAAGAAATGTGACCTACTTCTTAAGCACTTGTATGATTTTTACGGTATGCCAATTGTTGAATTGAGACGATAATTGCAAAAGGTTTGCAGGCTTTGTAATCAGTTCGTTAATACTACTGCATTAGAGTGTAATTTCTACAAAGCAAACTTCAGTATCACTATTACATTAACACCCATACATCCTCGCCTACAAACCAAAAATAGATTTTAGTGACACAATAACCTAAAGGTAGTTAACAATTCTCGAGTGTCACAGGTGTTGAGGTAATGTGACAATAAGTCATTAATATCGACGTTTTACTTGAATAATTATTGTTGTACTAAGCACTTTTACACAGAAATAGGATTCAATTATCGTATTTTCTTTCTTTTCAGGAAATATGTCTAGTAGTTTTCTTCGGAGTCGAATATATCGTACGATTATGGTCGGCGGGGTGTAGGTCGAAATACATGGGATTTTGGGGTCGTCTTCGTTTCATTCGGAAACCCATCTGTATTATTGGTAAGTACCGGCTTCTCTTTATTAATTCTAAAAACAAACGGTGCTTTTGCGTTTGTTGGTTGCGGAGAAGGTTAGCCGTTTCTAAGTGAATGTGGTTTGTGTAACTTTCATAAATGTTATTAAAGAGGTCCATTAGGAATTCCATTTCGCATAAATAAATTAACAGATAAGTTAGTAAATGTTTGATGTGATATCAAAATTTGTAGTAAACAGACGCCATTATACACGCTCTGAAATCGTCATTAAGGCCTTAAGTTTCCTGTCATTAGTTTTCTGTGTAATTAATAGTTATCGACCCTTTTATGGCGGCCACCTGTTTCTTTAGTATCTGTATATAAGATCTCCTTCCAACTTCCGAGTGAAAACGATATGGGGAAAAAAGCTATGTTCTTATTTATGTCAATGTACCGGATGATGTCGGCTAAGAATTACGATTATTAAAAGATTAAACAAAATTTTGCATTTGTACTATTCCTAGTCCCTGCCCGCCTCGATATCTGCTGTTTTCACTTTAAAGGCATCTACTATGATCACTCGAAGATTATTCTCCGCCGCTCAGATAACTCACCACTTTTTAAAAATGACTCAGGAAGGCAGGAGTAAACGTGACTTCAACGCAATTTAAACTTTGAACATTTGTTTGCACCTGTCTAGGCCCAAGAGTTTCAGAAGCCTTCAAACAACCAGTGCAAAACCTCGAAGTGCGTGTCTTTACGATTTTCAGCGATTACAAGCATTCAATAAAAAGTCGGGAAAATGCAGTCTTAAGCAAGTATGGTACTTGGATCTCACATTTCTCTACGGACATTAAATACACCAGCGGCGCCGAAAATATCCCTGTAGTTGCAGCATCACGAATATGCAACGTCACTTCTACCATAGATTACACTACTTTGGATCAAGCCCAAGAGGTCCACGCTCAATCACAAAAGTATAGACTGTTGCAAAGTATACGTTTTCATATTCCTCATCTGTTATCAAACTAGCAAAGGAAATCGGCTTTACATAGGTACCCAAGTCCTTCAGGAAAATCATCATTTCTGTAACCAATAGCCTGTCCCATCCTGGAATAGAATGCAGAAAGGTGTTAGCCAAGAATTAGAATATAAAAGCAATGAATTTAATAATTATATACTTGATCACAACAATTTATCCCCATATGAATTAAGTCTACTATTAACCAAGGTAAATGCTTTGATTATTCTGACTCTAGTTTCTCGGTTTAATAGACAGAGATAAAGATGCTAATGTTTTACAATGCCGTTTAATTAGAAACGTGGCCAAAGTATTTTTTTTATCGTACCAGGGTACGTAAGCCTTATTACTAGGATAGTCATCTGAAAATTGTTTTTGTTTCAGATTTAATTGTCGTAGTCGCGTCGGTCGTAGTTCTAACAGTTGGTTCAAATGGTCAGGTATTCGCCACCTCCGCCATTCGAGGTATTCGATTTTTACAAATACTGCGAATGCTGCACGTTGATAGACAAGGAGGAACGTGGCGTTTGCTTGGCTCCGTTGTATTTATTCATCGACAGGTGAGTGTTGATTATTTTTCTTGAGGTAGTTGTTTTTATGCAGACCAGAACTTGAATTATATCAAACTTTAAATAGGAACTTTCAAGTTGTACAGTGTACACCCTAAACATATCGGAAATAATGATTTAAGCAACGCAATTGTTTTTGTTGTATTGCCATTGTATAATTGTGTTATATTATGGTATAATGTATAAGCAATTGTGGTATAAGTAACTAGATATCCTCGAACTCCAGTCGAGAACCGGCTGGGAACTTTCTTTACGAAATGGGATAATTCGAAGTACCAAAAAGAGAAGTCTGAGAAGTGCAGTGCAAGCACTCAACTCAACTCAACAATATTATAATTTATACTCAGTGACATGGAAATTGCAACACCAAGAAGGAGTTGGAATTTTTTGACCAAACTTGGCAGAAACGTTTAGCTACTAAAAGGTAACAATTGATTAAAATTTCATTCATATGGATCAAGTGGTAATGGCTTATTTGACAGTTCTTTCATTTTTTTCTAGTATTCTTATATCGTGTACGTTTTGCGAGATTTTGTTCAGTTCTTATTGTTTTCGCTGTTAATCGTTTCTTTTGAGGCTGTGAACATGCCTAGATACCTACGTCAAAGTGGAAATTACCGCGAATTAAGAGAAGTTGACAGGTGTCGTATTGTTGGTTTGGGCGGAGGTGGTTTTTCGTTCACAAAAATTGCAAGTCACCTTAACCGAAGTCAATCCACCATACCATGATTCGTTGCAATCGGGCATGGATTTGGGAAGGGGCAGGATCGTCGTAGAGAGGAAAGGGAGGGGGCAGGAAAGGGTGGGGGGCGAAAAAGAACAATTGAAGTGCGGGATCGCCATCTTTGACTTATGGCAACAAGAAACCGATTCTCTAGTACCAGGTCAATTGCCGACCAATTGTTAGCTAACGAAGGTCGTCCTGTAACACATCGAACGGTTTACCGCAGAATCAGAGCTTACGACTTGCAATCCTATCGGCCACATCTTTTGTTACCATTAACAGCTCAACACCGCCAGCAGCGTTTGGATAGGTGTAGGTTGCGACTGCACTGGAACCTAGAGTGGCATAGGGTGGTTTTCAGTGATGAATCCCGATTTTGTTTGGGTATGCATGATGGCCGTATGAAGGGCAGCCGAAGACGTGGGGAACGTCGCAATGTTGAATTTTCTGTTATGAGGCATGTGCACTAAGCTGTGGGGACTATGGTATGGAGTACTATAACTTATGGGAGTAGGGCTCGTTTGTTATTCATTCGAGGTAATATGACCCCCCCAGCGATATGTGGATGACGTGATAGAACCCGATATTCTTCCATCTCTTCAGCAGTTGGAAGACCCACTTTTCCAGCAGGATAATGCCCCTCCCCACATTGAAAGACGTTCTATGGACTTATTTGCACATGATAATGTCAATTTCTTGCCATAGCCACCCAGATCTCCCAGTATATCGCCTATCGAGCAAGTTTGGGACATTATGAAGAGAAGACTGATGAACTTACCGCATCCTCCGCAGACGCTGCAAGCTCTACACAATGAATTAGAGGTTACTCACAGTTGCTTGGGACACAATACCTCAAGAGGAAATCGGCCGTCTGCTAAAATCGATGCTACGAAGCGTGAGGGAGTGCGTAACCAATAGGGAGGGACTACTATTATTATTAATAAAAATATGTTTATATTTCATCCTTTTTCTTTTAAATTTTAATCAATTGTTACCTTTTAGTAGCTAAACGTTTCTGCCAAGTTTGGTCAAAAAATTCCAACTCCTTCTTGGTGTTGCAATTTCCATGTCACTGAGTATATGAGAAAAATCTAAACTCAGGGTTGTTCTCGTCAAATTCCTCCCTGCCGTTGGGCGACCATTGTAACGGTTTCTTGCGTTATAATGAAAATTGCTACCTACTATCCCCTTTACTATAGTAATTCGTAAAAGTAAAATGAACCAAGCTGGATGATTCTCGTGACTTATCAGTGAATTCAAACTTAAATTATTTTCCTCTAGATTGGCCCACGTATGTATACAGTTTAACTTTAATTTCTTTTTGTTTTTTGAAACCGGAGTAGATGACCTCTTTAAGAGTTCGCCTTTGACATTTAACTGATATAAATCCGAATTTGTACCACCCCTACAGTAAACGGTTCTGTTTTGAATACAAAAAAATGGTTACCTTAAGCACCCAAAGCTAAGGACTACCCAGAGGACTACCCCTTGGTCGTTTAACCGTGAAGTGCAAATTAGCTCCACTAGGTTGATTTAAATAGTTGAAAAGGACAGCCGATGCAAAATCAAGGTATATCTTTCACCAAACCATATTTTCATTTAAACCTTTACGCGTTCGTATTTACTGTAATAGTTTTGCACGTTATTCCAAGGAAATGAGGGTCGCCAAGTATTAATTCGATTATTAGAGCTGCACATCAATATATTATAAAATACCCTGTAATAAATTACGGGTGGTCACTTTAACTACGCTAACGGCTCGCGGCTCCACAAGAAATTTTTTAACATAAATCAGGTACACCCTGAGCTAAATTACAGATGGATGACTTAACTTCACTCACGACTCATCGCGAATTGCCTTTCCGAACTCCCAACTTTCCACTACTCAATTCAACGTGGAGTAATTTCCCGCTGATCTTACAAAACCCAAGCCACATAGCAGTCTAGATAACAACTGCAATTTAAACAAGAACCAAGACGTTTTCGCGACACTGTGCCACTTTTTTGTGAAACTTTTAATCCCACAAACAGAATTAATCTAGTTGCGTTTGTTTCTGAGATACAGGGTGAAAACGAGAGGTTTAACTTTTTGGGATGTTACCACCCATATAAGATAGAAAAAAGGTACAAACTGCCTATTCTAAATATTTTTACACAAAATCCAGTGGTGTAGTATGTTTGGGCCACCTTTTCTGAAATTTGACCCAACGTTGATATTTTTTATATGCAACATCCTATATACATTAACGTCAATTTTTGCATTCTTTTTCCTGATTACATTGATGTATCACAACCTATATTTTGGTTTAATTTTAGCCATGAACCAAAAATGAAACCCATATTTTTTAGGGTTTTGAAATAGTGGGCCATGGATTTATGAAGATGTTTTTTTTATTGTATTCATGTCATCTAAAAATTTTGAAAAATATGGTGTATAATATATCATTATATACAAAAACACAGGTTGATACATCAGTATAATCAGGAAAACGATAAATGTAAATAATTGACTGTGAAATATACATTTAAAAAATACCAACATTGGGTTAAATCTCAGAAAAGGTGGTCCAAAACATTTTTTGGCTACGCCACTGGATTCTACGTAAAAATATCTAAAAGTAACAGGCTTTACATTTTTTCCCAAATCCCAAAAAGTCAAACTTTTCGTTTTCACCCTGTATCTCAGAAACAAACTAGCTAGATTGATTCTGTTTGTGGCATTAAAAGTGGTACGGGGTCGCGAAAATCCCAAGTCTCTATCATTAAAAACAACTGAAATATACACCGCAGTCTCAACTAAAATAGGACACACGGTACAAAATCGAACAAATTTAAGTAAAATTCGAATCAAATAGTCACGGACCACTTACTTTTTATGAAGCAACTTTCTACTGAATTGCTCATTATTATTAAATTGTAATTGAGGTACCCTCAACATAATGTACGTCCCCTAAATTCCAAAATTAGCCTTTCTTCTTTAGTTTTTGTTTTAAACGACCTAAAAAGATGGATCTCTACAGTATTACCCTTACAATAATCTCAACTATAACGCTTTGGTCCGACACTTAACATTCCAATGCGTAGAAAATAATAAGAGAATTACTAAATTCTTAGTTGGTGAATCCCTACAATATCAAAAAAGAAAACTTTTAAAGGAGGATGAAAACCTGTATGCCAAACTTGCTTAGACTTGGTGTTTTTATGATAACAAGTTTTCAGACGTTCGATTTCAATTCTATTTTTTGCGGGCTGAGGAGTGCTGAAAAAAGGCTAATGAAGGCACGCAAATTAAGGCTTTTGGGGGTTTAATTCTTAAACGAAACGTGTAACGGGGGCCCTTTAATGGCGTTAATTTTTTTCGAATTATTAATAGTCAGTAAGTTCTTAATAAAATTGGGGATCTGTAATTTTTCGGGTCACTGGTTTCCTTGTGCGTTGACCGATTAATCATAATAATAATAAAGATCTTCATTATGATTATACGGTATACCTATAACCAATAGTAACCTTAAATTGACTATAAGGCGAGGTTGATGAAGCGGCAAACTCGTTTCCTGTTCTTCCACCTAACCCATGAATTCGGTAGCATTAAAGAAAAAAATAGAAATATATAAATCTCATATCGATGATAACATTAAAAAAAGATAATAAATAACTAAAAATGAAAACAAAAATACACTCTTCACTCGTAAAATCCTTACACTCAAATATCTTAGATCTGCTCTGCATTCAGTTTTTCCTTGACAGAAGAAAGGCATTATACATCTATACAGGGCCCTTTCGTGGTATGAATTTTGAATGAATTTTTTTCAAAATCTGATAGGGCATAGGTACCCGAAAACCTATTCAAAGACGTGGCACCCATCTATGTAACTTTTATGGTTGCTGAGAAAAAAAATTAAAGAAAAAATCCAAATTTCACCACTGCTTTGGGGTGCTTCCCAAAAGTAACACGTTGGACCCTCGGTTTATTTGGAAAAAGTGCATGTCCTGATCCCCTCTATCACCCAATTTTTTCACATGCGGTCATGTAACACCCTGTATACCTTCACAATGTAAAAGAGCGCTTGAATGTTTCCATTGGGTATGGAGGTGGAGGTTATCTTGCCATCTACCCGTACTTGCTCCCTATCGTGTTTGCGACCAAGGAGAATTGCAGATGACTTTCCTGGATTGATTTGAACGTAATCTCTCTCTGATATTGGTATATGTGGCTTAGGAAAGTAAATGGTGACAGTATGACGGGCGGTAAATGGTAATACTATCT